GAATATAACTTAACTAAAATTTAATTTGATAGTAATTAAAGATGATCCTAAAAACAATCAAATTTCTCGAACTAAATCTTCTAAGTTTTTGTTAAAAAAAGAAAAAAGAGAAAAAGAAAAAATGAAATAAAATAAATGAAAAAAAAAAGACGAAGAGTATGTTTGTGTTTTTATTTAAAGTTAATTTAGTAATTAATATCATTTTAAGAGAGACGCGAGAATACTTTTTTTTTAATATTTGTAGTAAAAGAAATATGCTTATTACATCATTCTGGGTCAAGAAACCCCTATACTATCGATAAATAAAATTGTGGTTATACTGGATGGTAGAGAATCCAATATGTGCAATCCCAAAATTAAATTATCATGGTGGGTGGCCATCTAATCCGTACATTAATTCGTTTCATGATGAATGTGAAGTATAGTACAATTCCAAGGTTGATGAAGTAACTCCCTAATGCTTGTAGCTTTTATTAAACCTCAAGAGAGATTTTATATTTCACACCATTAATTTTTGAGAAAAATTATGAGAAATAACCTTCCTTGATAAGAGCATTTCAAAAATAACCATAAAAATAAATTTAACTATTTTTAACCATATTTAACCATCCTTGACAAAAATACCCTTGAAACTATTTTAAATAAATTAAACCATTCATCATAATTTTTTTCCATTTGTGTTTTCAATTTCTCTTTCTCACCATCCCATTCTCTATAATTCTATCGATTTCTCTGTTCGGCATTTGTCTGCTATGCTCAGTTCTCGATTTCTCTCTCCCGCGCTTCTAGATTTCTTTTTCTTATGCTTTCAAGACACCAAGCGATGGTTTTGATGTGTTTGGGTGGGTGGTTATTTGAAAATTTTAATTTTTAGGTATTTTGAATAAAATTAAAACTGTAGAAATGATCATAGATGTTTGAAATAGCCTTTAATTGGATCAATTTGGACCTAGACACTAATAAACTCAATAATTTGAAATTATAAACCTAAGTTTCAAAGGAATTTGTTTTATTTTTAGTCAAAATAGGTGTTT